AACTTAGGTTTGATCTCTAGCATTACACAAAAAATTAAATTAAAATAAGATTTATGCCAAATAGACAAAAGGGAGGAAAAGGAAAGATTACTTGAGAAACAAGGAGCCTATCTCTATCATTTATACTACTATCTAGTACATTACATCTCTGTTCTGATATATTTTGTGTGTGTGTGGTAAAGTTCACTATTTTAACCATGTTAAGTGCACCGTTCAATGGGATTAAATACATTCACACTGTGGTACAACCATCACTGCTACCCACCCCTAGAATGTTCTCATTTCCCAAAACTGAAACTACAGTACACTCATTAAATATCACATCTGGTTCTCTTTTCCCATCTGGCAGCAACTGCCATTCTACTGTTGGTAAATTGGATGGTTTTGTATACAGAAGAATCACAAGATTATTTCATCAGCAAAATGTCCTCAGGGTTCATCCATGAAGTAGCCAGCATGTGACAGTGACATAAATAAGTAGAAAAGCAGCAATCAAGGAACTGCAGCACATACAACTTTTAGATGGCAGGATAAGCTGATAACCAAAACCTGCCTGACAAAGAAATGGGGGCATGGAGCTACAAAAGAATAAGGAAGTAAAAGAACAAAAGAATGAGGAGCTGGGCACTGGGAGCTCATGCCTATAATCCTAGCTACTCAGAAAGCTGAGATCTGAGGATCAGAGTCCTAAGCCAGCCAAGGCAGAAAGTCTTATCTCTAATTAACAAGGAAAAAGCCAAAAATGGACCTGTGGTTCAAGTGGTGGAACACCCACCTTGAGAATGAAAGAGAGAGTGCCCTGTTCCGAGTTCAAGCTCTGGTGTGGGTATTTAAAAAATAGAAAACAACAAGAACAACAAAAATAATAACATTCAGAAAACCCAAAATGAGAAAACAAGGACTAGATACTAAATCTTTGGTGTCATAACCTCACTGGAAACAGAAAGGAGACCACCCAATCAGAAAGCCATCCAATTCTATATTCTACTAAAAGCCAAGCTCTGTAACAAGAAAGACAGAGAAAGATAGCTAAGATGGCAGATATAGGCTGAACTGCTCTCTTCCCCAGGGCATGTAATGCCACGTGCTCATTTTTTTCTGCCATGGTTCTTTTCAAATAAACTTTTCTATCATTTTTACTTATGTTTATCCCTTGCCTGAAGTTTTCTCTTGCCAGATGCAAGTATCAAGTTTGTTTAGCTACCCTAAACTTTCTGGTAATATATTTGGTGCATTAGTCAGAAAGTTAGGAATGAAGTATGTCATTTTCTGACTTGGACTCACTGTATAATAAGTTCTCTTTTAGGTGGATTAATACTCTAATGTATGTACAGGCCAGATTTTGTTTTTTCAGTCATCCATAGTGGGCATGTGGGTTGCGTCTATCTTTTGACTTTTTAAAATAATACCATTTACGCATATTAATGTTTATTTAGGTGCCTACTTCTGATTCTTTTAGGGATATAACCAGCATGCTCCATGTTTAGAAGCCATTGTTTAGTGAAATTTTAAGCACTTGAATATATCACTTCTTTCCTCTTACTTTTTAAGTAGTTTAAGATGATTTACATTCAATTCTTGTCCTTCAGTTACTTCCACATAAAAACCTTTCAGTGCTAGAAGATAGTTGAACTGAAAGAAGGGTGAGAGCTAGCCAGGCCCCTGGTTCACACCTGTAATCCTAGCTACTCAGGAGACTGAGATCTGAGAATAGCAATTTAAAGTCAGCTTGGGCAGGAAAGTCTGTGAGACTTTCACCTACATCTAAGCACAAAATCTGGAAGTAGAGCTATGGCTCGAGTGTTAAGAGTGCTAACCTTGGGCAAAAAAGCCCAGGGACAGTGCCTGGACCCTGAGATCAAGCCTTGGGACCAGTATACACATTACACATATTACACACATCACACATCACACACACACACACACACACACACACACTCCATGCTAAAGTTTATTTCCTTGTCCAGTTGTTTGTATGCCTGACAGTACTCAAAATATTTAATGCCAGGTAGTCAGTTCTCCTAGTTTATTTACTTGAGTCAGCTTATAAGCCAAAACCCTTATTTATAATCAAATTTGGTCAGGAAAAAATCTTTTAAATCACAAAATCCTAATAAAGCAGATTTTACTTTCAGTATTGGGATATTACCACTGTTTGGCTAAGCTGCAGATGAGCTGGTTGGCTGGCATTTAAAAGCTGAATTGCATGAAATGGACAATTTTAGCCACTTAGCATGAAGTCATGTTTTGAATTATCCATATTTATGTAATGTTATGAAAATTTTTTTTCATCTAAAAACCAATTTAATGCGATTCCTTGTACATGCCAGGCCTGAATAAGAGTATAATGTATAATCTCCTTTCTTGCCTGCGACATGGTACAAGGTCCAAGCTGGGTCTGCTAAGTTATTGGCTATGTGAACTTGAGCAAACATGTTACTTGGGTCACTGTGCTTCAATTCCCCATCAATAGAACAGAATGTGTCGATGTAGAAAAGTAGGAACTGTATTAATGGAAGTAGGAAGCCATTTTCTGAGAAGAAAGTAATGTTTATAAATTTTTTGTAGTTACTGGGATTGAATTCAGGGTGTGAGGTTTGCTAGGCAAGTGTTCTACTACCACTTGAGCCAGCAGTCATAGCTGAAACTGACATTTAAAGAGGATGAAGAAAAGGACTTGGTGACAGATTTGAGGGAGGGGGAAGCAGATATGTAAACACTCCCACTGCTTTATCTTGAGAAACAAGTTCACATGGAGTCATCTTCCAGCTCTCATACTGAAACAAGAATAAAAATTGATTATACAGCACTAGGAGGGGGGAGGGGAGTCATAGAAAAGTTGTATTTGAGGAGCCATGCTCAGAGTTTAACAGAGTTCAGCCTAAAGGTGGATCACTTATAGTTTCATACCAATTGAAGCCTCTTCCTCTTGGACTTTACTGGTCACAGAAAAGTGTAGAAATACTGTAAAGATCAGTACACAGGATAGTGTAAGATTTATAGTACTTGTAGGGTCCAGGGTATATTAGGCATATTGGACTTCAAAACATCTAGGAATTCTGTGAGGGTCAATAAGTTGAAATCGCAAAATCAATAGAAATCTTAAAAGAATGTGGAGACCTTAAAAATGCTAGCTTGGGCCTGGAAACTACTGGAGGAAGGACAGAAGGGTTGTGTCCAATCTATAGAAGGGCACTAAATTCCTATTTCAAATTGGTCAATCATGAAAACAGGAACCAGATTCAGAACTAAAGCAATTACTTTTAGAAAGTGATGCAAGGAACAACTTCACTAGTGATTAAAAAAAGATTGTCTTGTACCACTATACAGAAGTTTAAATCTTTATAAAGTGCTCTGACAAGCCCCTTGAGTTCAGTATCTCTGAGCTTTCTCCCTTGCAAGCATGCTTCTCTTCTTTGATCTGCCAGCAAAATTCAATTCTTTCAGGCCAACCTTTATTGTTTGCAATTTTATTTTTCAATTGCAAGATATGAAGGATCCCAGACTACATCTGACTTGAACGAAAATCTTAGGATTTTTTTAAAATGAAGATTTGATTAATCATCAAAAAACACTGGTTTGCAGGAAATTCCCAGAGTATTGAATTTTTAGATGAACTATACAAGGAACTCCAATTAATGGAACTTTTTCGCAAGACATTTTTTAATTTGGAAAAGTTTCAAAGATATGTTTCAACTGCTTGAACTGCTTAATGAATCCTTTTAAGACACATTTCTAAGATGTCATGCTAGACACACAACTACTTTTACTAGTCCTTTAGCGTTTTTTTTTTTTTTGTCAGTTGTGGGGCTTGAACTCTGGGGCCAGGGCACTGTCCCTCAGCTCTTCACCTCAAGGAGAGCACTGTACCAATTGAGCCACAGGGCCACTTGTGGTTTTCTGGTGGTTAATTGGAGATAAAAGTCCCAAGGACTTTCCTTCCTGGGCTGGCTTTGAAATGTGATCCTCAGGTCTCAGCCTCTTGAATAGTTGGGATTACAGGCGTGAGCTACTGGCCTCTGGCCTCCTTCAGGATTTTGAATTGTCAAAAAATAAAACATCAGGAGCAACTATTGTTAGCTCTAAATGGAGAACCACAGTGGGTACTTACTGGGTTTGTTACAAGAACATTTAAGAGTTTAGTGTTTGATAGATGACTTTTATGAACTGTAGCTAACAAGCCGCCTTGATAAGAAAATGGTTAACATCCAATGCTGAAGAAAGTGGAAAAAGGCATTCCTATTGTCTTGAGGCAAAGTCTAGTTAGGGAGGGTATATGGGTGATTATGTATACCCAACCTAGGTATACATAATCCCCCCCCCACACTTTTTTTTCTTCTCTTCTCTCTCATCTCCTTTTCCTACCCCTCCATTTCTTTCCTTTTTTTACCATGCTGGGGCTGGAAACCAAGGCCTTGGGCAAGCTAGGCAAGTGCTCTGCCACCTAAATCTCAGCAATTTGTTTTCTTGTGTGGGATTCCTCCATGATTGCAGCTTTAAACTCCAATTTTGCTAGAATTTGGCAATCTGAAGGATAGGAGATAGACTAAGACCTAACTGACATTGTGTTAACTGTCATTTAGGAACATATGGCTAGTAACTTTATAGGCTAAAAGGGTCAAGTAAATTGCATTTTTATAGCTGGGCACCAGTGGCTTATACTCCTTGACTACTCAGGAGGCTGAAATATGAGGATCTCAGTTTGAAGCCAGCTGAGCAAGAAAGTCCTTCATCTCCATTTAATCACCAAGAAACCTGAAGTGAAGCTATGGCTCAAGTGGTAGAGTATCAACCTTATGTGATAAAGGGACAGTGCCCAGGACCAGAATTTAAGCCCCAATACACACACACACACACACACACACACTCTCTCTCTCTCTCTCTCTCTGTCTTTCTCTCTCTCACACATACAAGCACATACACTGTACATGCCAAAAGGCTAAAGGACTCTAGTTCTTTAAATTTCTAAAGACATTTAGAACAATTTGGAGACTAGGTATAGTGTGAACCTTTTATTTTTACAAAAAAGAACTTTACAATCTGATTCTACATTCTCAAACTTTGAAACTTTCACTTACTTACAACAGTGAAAGAAAAGGCAACCGAGACTCCATTATTTCAGACATAAATAAAGTAGTACCAGACTAGGCTCATTTCATTTGACAAACCATAAAAATAGCGCCATTTATCAATTCCAAGTGTACTTATGTGAAACACACGGAAATACTTCTGTTTTAAAATTAGTCTCATGCCCATTAACAGATAAGTGTTTGACATATGTATTCTCATTACCAATAGGCACAACTTTATGAATATCAAATTACTTACATCACTTTTATAATCTTGATTTGAGAAATAAAAAACAAGACAAATTTATAGTTACACAGTTGAAAATGTTACACTTACTGCACATAGCAAGTTATGACCAGGAATGCTAGGAGTTAACCTTAGGAATGACTTAAAAATTTAACATCTTATTGGAAAAACTGGAGCCTAGTGCTAGGCATGGTAATGCACAGCTGAAATCTCAGCTACTCTAGAAGTAGAGGCAGGAGGAACTTGAGTGAGGCCAGCACAGTGGTTTACAAAAAAGGGCAGGGTGTGGCTGGAATGGTAGAGAGCTTGACCAGCATACTTAAGGCAAATGGTTCAATAACCAGCACCACAAAAAAGACCAAAAGAAAATCAGCTTGTTATAAAATTGGCACCTCTAGTGTGAAATGCAAGTTAAATGACACACTTGTATCTAAAGATCTAACAAATGATAGATTTTTATGCAACTGGTTACAAAGGATTAGTATTTATTGTTTAGCAGAATTTTTTGGTCTGAAACATACACAAATCCTAAAACAAAAGGCACACAATGGAAAATAGCTTATATACCTTCATTCATGTTAAAACAAATTTAACTGTCATTTAGAGACGTGACAAACTTGTTATAAGATTTTGTTAGCTGGAAAATTAAAGATCTATGAATCAAAAGCTGTGGCTCTGTGAAATCTACCCTAAAGATTATAACAACTTAGACCCCAGCAATTTAGACCAAAAAGATAAGGCAGGACTCAAATTATTCACCTATAAAAGTTTCTCATCTTTCACAGAAGATTTAACATGCTTGTGAGTTACATTTTAAAATAATTATGAAGTCACTCTACCACGAATGAAATGTAACTAAGAATCACACTATACAAGTTTCTAATGACATTTTTCATTTATATAAAGAAATTCAATAGCTAGCAGCATTTAAATATAGACATAATCCCTCTTATAAAGTGCTAGTTTTAACTGGGCAGACTTACTACCCAGCTTCTCAGTAACTACATCATAGCTCCTTGAGTGAATTCAAAAAAATATGGGGAAATTAAAAGGTTTGGAATATAAAACACTTGCAAAATGTTGCTACAAAACGTAAGACTAAATGTATTCATAAAATTAAAGTCTCTTACATGAGAATCATTAAGTTGATTTAATAATTACTTCACAGAAGCATAGGCTGACTTTTTGTGTCAATTTTCACTAATTGTCTAAACTAGCAAAGGTTTCTATTAAATAACTCTAAGCACCTAAGAGTTATGCCAAATAGAGCCAAGGTTTATATGATCCTTAGAATAAAAACCTTAGCAAAGTTAAGACTTTTATAACAAGCTAGTGACAATCAAGAGGCAATATTTTACGCAAAAGTACCACAGGCTGCTATTCGTTTCTTTAAATAAAGCCTTGTACCATCATTTGTAATGTACCGTGACTACAGTAAGTTAAAATAAAAAAGGCAACTGAACTACTTACAATACAAACAGGATTCCAATATTATTCACATTATTACTCTCGGCTCTCATTAGTACTTCTGCATTTCAATTGATGTCCTTCAGTAGTACCTTAAAAAGCAAATGCAACTAGTGGGGGAAAAACACAAAGTAGCACAGTTTTGTTCACACTTAAAATCTGCAAGCTTCATCACAATTCATTCTCTCTCTCTCTTGTTCCCCTCCTTGCTCTAGGAAAAGTAACTACTTAGAAAAACAGCTATGTAAAAGTACTATATCCGTTACTTTGTTTATACTAAGTGTATCAGTAATGGTTAAGCAAAGGAACTCTCAGTCATCAATTCTCCGCGGTTGAGATTTCTAGTGTCTAAACAGATATACTCTCCTGGGACAACGACTTCAGGTCTCCAGAGTTGAGTGAGGAAGAGGCACAGGTCAATTCACTTCCCAGGAAAAAAAAAACAACAACCAAAAAGCTAGTTCTGAGGGAATTCCCACCCACCCATTCCAAAGCTTACACCAGTGAATTTGGCCTCGGACTTCTAGTGGCACTACCTTTACCTATCCCTAATGTTTATAGTGAAGACAAACCTTAGTATTAAATTATTATTTTTACCCAAATACATTGGATTTCGGTCTCAATTTGAAGGAGGATGAGTGGCCTTTAAGAGCCCTTTCCTCTTCCTCCTCCTCCCCTTCCTCCAAGGGCTGCTCCGGGTCCCTAAAAGAGGGTGTGGTGTGGATGATTTGGGTTCTGAAGCGAATTTTGTTGAGTCGGGGTTTTATCCTTCCACTAGAACTGCCAGAGGATTTGCGACCTGGATCTTTTGTTTTTCCTCCAGGCCAGCCTTCAGCCTGGTGGTGGTGGTGATGGTGGTGATGATCCACGCCATCCTCCAGGACGTGAGAAAGTTTGTAGGTAATGAGGTGAGACGGGAGTACCTTCGAAAGTCTCCAACGCCCACCTCCGCTGACAGTGGCACTCTCACCGTCCTCCTCATCCAGTGCTCCCACCAAGTTTTTAATCTCCTCCGTGATGCTCTGACTCAGATACTGGGAGGCCTTTTTCCCACTGTAATCTCGGATGTCCACGTCCGCGTCGTAGGCCCCCACTAGTAACTTCACCACCTCCACATGCCCGTGCATGGCTGCTAAGTGGAGGGCAGTGTAGCCCCCGCTCGTTCTAGCGTTGATGTTCACCGGCAGCTGGTGTTTGTTGGCGAAGTTGACCAGCATGGCTAGGAGCTCCTGCTTGCCGTGCTTGGCGGCCCAGTGAAGGCAGGTGAAGCCGGTGATGAAGTCTCGCTTCGCCAGCAGGCCGGGTTCACAGGTGAGCAGCCCTTCTAGGCTGTCCCACTTGCCGTCCGAGGCCGAAAGCATCCAGGCGTGCTCCAGCGGATCCAGGGTCACCGAGCCTCCGCCGGTGCTCTCCTCCTCGGCGGACGAGGAGGCCACCGAGGCGCTATCCGAGTCTCCCCCGCCTCTGCTGCGTCCTCCCCCGGAGACGCCCATGCCCTGGCTGATGCCCCCAGGACACCCGCTCCTCTTCAGCTGAGGGGAGTGCCCCATCACCAAGTCCCGGAAGTTCTGGCGAATCGATCTCGAGGTGGTGAGCCCACCGGGAAAGCTGCCTCCCTCCGCCTCCGGGTCGTGGTGGGGCGGGGGCTCCGGGTCCTCGTGAGGCCCGGGGGCCGGGGCCTGGACTTCGCGACCTGAGTCCTCTCCGCCCGGGGAAGGTTCTCCATCGTTCGGCTCTCGGCCGGGTCCAGGGGGCGCCTCGGGGCCCGCCGCCTCGGGGTCGGCTGCCGCGGGACAAGGAGCGCCTTCCCCGGGCTCGGCAGGGGGTTCCGGGGCCTCGGCCGTCACCTCGATTCGGGGCGGGTCCCCGAGCCCCGCGGCTTCGGGCTGAGGGGTCCCCGTGCAGAACCTTTTCTTGAGATACACGTACTTGGCGCCGTCCGCAGGGTCGGTGCGCACGGTGGCCACCGCGTTCACCAGCTCCTTGAAGCGGGCGCGGGCGCGGGCGCGCTGCTCCGGCTGGCCGCCCAAGGAGCCTCGGAAGTGCTGCACCAGCTCGGCGTGCTGGGCCCGGCCCCCGCGCTCCGCGAGGAAGCGCCACACCGCCTCGGGGCCCAGCTCCGCCTCCGGGCTCGGCTCCGCGGCTCCCTCCATCTGCGGCCGCTGCACCTTCTCCACCCCGCGGGAAGTTTAGCCCGGCGCCATGGCGGCAGACCCAGAGCTGGTGAAGACTAGCCCGACAGGCAGGGCTCCACGAACGGTTCGGAGTCGGCGGGGCCGCACGACGCTGTCACCACCTCACAGAGGCCGCGCCCGGGAGGACACGCCCCCCAGGCAACGCCCCTGCCTGTCTGCCCCACCCACTTCCGGTCTCTTGGGGGGACCGCAATCAGTGCTCCGGCCAGCGGAGGGCCCCGCCCACTTCCGGTCTTCGCGTGGGTTCGCAATCTCGGCTGCAGCCCGCGCAAACTAGACCAGTCCGGCGCTACGTCCTCGCCCTTCCTTCCTCGCGCCACATCTCTCCGCCGACCGCCGTCCGCACGGACTTTCCTTACCGTGAACGTCCCAGGCCACGGGGGGGGGGGGGGGGGCGGGGGAGGCAGAGGGAGGGAGTGGCTTGGCTGGACACGCGGGACACTCTCGATTCAGTCAATGGCTGGTCTCGGCGGCCTCCCCGGGCTCGGCCCCGCCCCTCCCCGGAGGCGGCCCCGCCCCTTAACGGCCGCGGCCGCGCCCGGCTGCTCCCCGCGCCCCTCCCGTTACCTCCTGCCTTTCCTCTAGTCGCCGCCGGGAAGCGCGCTCGGGGCCCCCGGGTGGCACTGTCGCTGCGCTGCGCTCCGCGGGGGCCATGGCCTCCTCCGACGAGACGCGGCTCCTGGTGAGCCCGTCACACTGCTCCTCCTACGCCGCCGCCGCCGGGACCGCTTTCGGCGACCCGCGACCCTCCTGTTCGCACGGAGCTCCTCTCATGTCTCCTCACTCGGTGCGTCCGGCCCCGGAGGGGTGGTGACCGGCGTGCCGCCCCCGGGGTGCGCGCGGCGGGGTCGGGGGAGTTGAGGGGCGCGGCCGGGCGCGGCGGCCGGGACTCCCGGGAAGTTGCAGGGTCCGGGTTTGCTTTTGGCCTGGTGTCCCAGACGGGGAAAGTCGGCCGGGAAGGGTGGGTACAGGGACGTCCCTTCGCGAACGGTTCTCGGAACCCGCGATGTGGATGGGAGAGCGGCGCGCCAGCGTCCGGGCGGCCTCGCCAGCGCGCCCCGTTCTTTCCCGCCGCTCTCCGTTGGGACTATGACCTCCCCTTCCCGCACCCCCTCCCACCCTCCACCCCCGCGTGGGCGCCCTGGTTCCCCCCGAAACCCCCCCGGGGACTCCTTGCTCCAGTGTTTTTATGCCTTTCAGATCCTAAAGTGGTCACACAGATCATTCCATAACAGGGCCAAGCTGTGACTTGCCCTTGGTCACCCCCTACTTCGGGGGACCGCGTGGAAAGATGGAATTTCCACCCCTTTGTAACCCAGTGGAATGGGTCTTTGTGTGTATTCCTGCGTGTTAAAGACGTCTTTCCGTTTCTGCAATAAAAGACCAACGGTTGGCACGTGTAGACACAAAAGTTTTTGCGAGGCCGGAAAGTGTGAGAACTGCTGGACTCAGCTGTCTCCTACGAGAAGTTTTGGCTGTAGGGATAGTTTGCTGGTGTGATTGGTCTGAAGTCATGATTGGCTTCGTAGTGATCACTGATTCTGTCCTGGTCTCTCTTTCCACTCTTGTATGTTTTTAGATAGTTAAAGAAGGCTCAATTTTTCTGTCTGTACTTTTTTTTTTTTTCTAAAAAATACAGTTCCTGAGTTTGTGAGAGGAATAGCTGGCAACGTGTGTTTTTCAAACTAATTCAGAGTAGGGTTCAGTATTAAGTTTGACAGAAAACCATTGAATATTGGACTTAGTGTTAATGGTAGGTACATAATTTGATTTATATATTTTCTACGAATCCTTCAATTTTGACATAACTGTAGGTTCACATGCAGTTGTAAGAAATATTGTACTGTGATCCCATGTACTCTTCCCAGTTTTCCTCAATGTATGGCAGTATAGTAACATTGTAGATGTTGGCTGTGGTACAAGAAAGACAGAGGACCTTTTCTTCTTCTTTTCCCTCCAGTACAGGGAATGGAAACTAGAGCCTTGCACATGCAAGTGTTCTGTCACTGAGCTACATGCTTAGCTTTACAGAGGATCTTTCTGTCACCACAAGGGTATGTCATCCTGCCTTCTTATAAATACACACACCTTATTCTTCTCCCACCTCTTCCTTAACCCCTGACAAACTAATTTGTTGATCACTTCTGAAGTTTTGTCATTTCTAGACTTGTATAAGTCTAGAATTGAATGTTTTTCACTCAGCAAAGATCTCGAGAGATTGATCCAAGTCGTTGCAAGTATCAATAGTTTGCTGAGCAGTGTTTCAAGATATCCACATAGATATAACATACTTTGTTGGAAGGACATTTGGGGCTAATATGAATAAAGTTGCTATAATTATTACAGCATAATCCGTTTTCAGTTCTCTGGAATAAAGTCATAGGAATATTGCTGGGTTCTGTTGGCAGTTGCGTATTTAGCTTTATAAGAAACTGCTGAATGTTCCTACCAGCAGCATATAAGAGCTCCAGTTTTTCCATATTCTTGTCAATATTTAGTGATGTTACTATTTTTAGCCATTCTAATAAGTATGTGATAGCTCATTGTGACTTTATATTTCCTCTTGCTAGTGGTACTAGGCATCCCTTTTGTATATATATTTGCCATATCTTTGGTTTGCTGTCTCTTAATTGTTTTTTGCTCCGTTTTCTGAGTAGATTACCTTTTTCTGTGAGTGTAGAAAGTTTAAAATTTTTTAAATGTATTCTATACTGGCCCGTTTTCAGGTTTGCAAAAGTTTCCTCTCAGTTTGTAAATTTTTTTCCATCTTCTTTTAGAGTCTTTTCCAATCTTGAAAGGAGTGACATGGATCTAGATGCATTGTATTTATAAACTGCTTTGTTAACAGACAACTCCTTTGTACAACTATTTAAAGTTACTTCAAATTGTTAAATCTGATGGTTTGTTTTATCATGTTTTCATTTTATAGATGTGTGTACTTTTGTTGTCAAGTTTTAATAACTCTGTCTAACTCAAGATCCTCTTCTTGAAAGTTTATGGTTTACACGGAAGCTCATAATCTATTCTGAGTTAATTTTTCTGTTAGATAACAGATTTCAGTTGGGGAATAGTTTATGATGTCTGGATTTTTAATTTCTGTAGCAATATTTGTTGAAAAAATTCTCATTATTTGATTTTATTTCTGGAATATGTGTGTTTGCACGTGCATGCATGTGTGTGCACATGCCAGTACCGGGGCTTGGACTCAGGGTCTAGGTACTGTCCCTTAGCTTTTTTTGCTCACGGCTGGCACTCTACCACTTGAGCTACAGCTCCCTTCCTGTTTTTTGGTGGTTAAATGGAGTTAAGAGTCTCGTGAACTTTCCTGCCCCGGCTGATTTAGAATCCATCCTCCTTAGTAGCTAGCATCATAGATATTAACCACAGTGGTGCTAGACAAGTGAAAATTCTACACAGTAGTACTTTTGCTTTGCTATTTACATACCATTTAGCAGGGTCTTATTTTATTATTATTTGTGCCAATATTGGGACTTGAACTTAGGGCCTGGGCTCTGTCCCTTAGCTTTTTTACTCAAGGCTGGAGCTCTAACATTTGAACTACACCTCCTTTCAGGTTTCTGTTTGTTAATTAGAGATTAGAATCTCATGGACTCTCCTGCCCAACCTGGCTTTGAACTGTGATCCTTAGATCTCACCTTCCTGAGGAGATAGGATTCAGGTATGAGCCACTGGTGCCTAGCAACAGGGTATTATTTTTGAGCTGTAAGGCCAGAATTACTTGAGTTATTTTGGGAAATTTGAGTTGAAAAATATCTTTATTATAAAGAAGGATATTGACTGAGGTCATCTTATTTGGTACAGAGAAGAAATCCTCCCTCCCTACCTAATAGGGGAAAGTTTATTTAAAAGTCAAAGTAGCAAGAACTCTCCATCTGGAGATGGGCCTAAACAGGAGTCCCAAGAAATCTTCATCAATAAGGGCTGAAGCACACGTTGAATTATCTGTCACCTCTATAGAATTGGGAACTAGACTCAGAGCATTTTCATTCACAGCTGATGCTATTACTTGAATCACAGTCCAGCCATTTTTTGCTGGTAAATTAGAGGTAGAATTGAGGACTTTTCTGTCCAGGCTGACTTTCAACTATGATTATCAGGTCTCAAATTCCTAAGTAGTTAGGATTGTAGGCTTAAGCCACTGCTTGGCAGTGGTTGATTTTTACTTTTGGATTGATTTCTGGAGATTAAATAGGGCCTTGAATATGCTAGGTAAGCTCTCTGCCATTGGACTATGTCCCAGCCATCTTACAGACTTAATAGAAAATCTTTTCTCCTCTTGCAAAAGTTTAGGTATCTCAGATTAGGTTAATTACTAGTTAGTTAACAGATACCAGATGAAGTCTTGGGAAACAAGAAAATTAGAGGTTTATTAGGGTTGATACTGGTCATTTTGATTAAGAAATCAAGATGGGCAGAGCTAAAGAAAAAGAAATGGGAAAAGGCTAAATGCAAATCTTGCCTACTTTAAGGTTTATCTGCCAGTAGTATTTCTCTTTGTGTGTGTGTGGGGGGGGGGGTGGGGAGAGGGATAGGTTGTAGGGCTTGATCTCAGGTCTGAGCACTGTCCCTGAGCTCTTTCCACTCAAGGCTAGTGCTCTAGCACTTTGAACCACAGCACCGCTTCCAGTTTTCTCGTGGTTAATTGGAGATGGGCTGGCTTTGAACGTGATCCTCAGATCTCAGCCTCCTGAGTAGCTAGAATTACAGATGTGAGCCATCCGGCTTGTAGTAGTAGTTCTTAAACATTCTCCTCCATTATTTTCCTCAGCAGAAAAATTGAACCAAATTCAATTAAAACAGTTTAATTGATCTTAAATTTACTAGGCCACCGTATTATTTTAACTTTTGAGTTCACTTTAATGGGAGAAATTCAGAACTAAAGAATAAAATAGTATGAATTGAACAGTTTATCTCTCAAGTATATCCAATTGAGGAATTAAGCCTGGAGCCAGGGGCTCATGCCTGTAATCCTAGCTGTGCAGGAAGCTGAGATGTGAGGATCCCAGTTTGGAGCCAACCCAGGCAGGAAAATCTGTGAGACTTTTATCTCTTAATTAACCAATCAAAATTAGGAAGTGGAGCTGTGACTCAAATGGTAGAGCCTCAGCCTTGAGTGAAAAAATGAAGACAATGCCCAGGCCCTGAGTTCAAGCCCCAGTACCAGCACAAAAATGGATACATGAAATTGTTGTGATATATGCAGTAAACTGAAAATATTTCCAGATCCATGTGCCACATACATTCTGAGCTATCATAGCATAGTAAACCCTTCGTATGATCCTGCTTTACATTTGTTTCGGTAAGACTTGATGTATTGGGTATGCACACAGAAAGATGCAACAAAACATGTTGGGTTCATTATTGTTAACTTAAACATCTTGGAAACCAAGGAATGACTGACTTGCATCCTGTGAATTAGAGTGTTTAGTAGAACCAGACTGAACTGTGCATTGTAAAACAGGTAGGAAAATTTGAAACACTGATAATATGGGCTGTGTAGTATGTCTTTAAAGTAAATATCCTTTGGGAAAGGTAGAATGTGATTCTTCTAAAAAATTACTAAAATAAAATTTTCTATGTGGCTTATTATCTATAACTTTATTTACTTGGGAGGCAGTGATCAGGAGGATCAGGATTCAAAGTCTGCCCAATCATAAATACAGCATGCCATCTAAGACAATAGTTGGACACAGTATCACATCTCTCATCCTAGCAACATGAGAAATATAAATAAGCTCACAGTCCATACTGTCCTGGACATAAACA